GCAATTCAGCTAGCTAGACTCAGGTGATCTGAGCAGCTTAACTCTGTTAGCTGAATTTGTTCGAGTGCATCGATCATTATCTTCACTTCAGAAGAGCAAGACAGCTGACTGACCTTAAGGGCACTATAATCTGCCTAACAAAATTTGTGGAGTGGTTTATAGCTACTCATGTTGTCTAGTAAGTTAGTGCATTAATATAGTTGTTAACAAACAGTTTTTTCAACTTTGTTCTTCGAATAAGTCGGTGGGGATCGTTGTTATCGTCCATAAATTAAATAAACCGTTAACTACAGCTTGATGAAGTAAGCATCCTGATTCTTTTCGCTCTTAAATTAACGTTTGTCCTCAGTTTTTAAAAAAGTATTGAAATATAACTCTCAAGTATGCTGAGACAACAATGGATTCTGAAGACAAGGTATATCGGGTTTCCTGGGTAGAAGATTCGATGACCAAATAATTATTGTCGTTGCATGTGATATACTCCTTATTCAGTCAACAATCAAGTAATTAATACTGAATAATCTTTTTCAGATAGGTGAAGAAATTCAGGATTTAACTGAAAGGTTCCAGGATAAACTAACATACTGGTGTATCAAAATTATCAACGCTATGAACTGGTTGCAGCCTTATGTACTTGTACTTGTAACTCCTCGGTAGTTACTTCACCACAAAGATATTCATCAAGATGTATTTGGTTTATAATGGCTAATAATGCAATCAAAAATGTAAGATGGATATACCAGACTCTTTCTGCGAGACAGTATTCTGATTAAAGGCTGAGCATCTCAAGCATTATTAATCTTGTTTGCTACTGAGTATTTCAGCGGAATACATTTTCTTCTTTATGAATCATTCTCAGTAGTTAAACGATTTTGTTGGTAATAACAAATAACAAACAAATAATTAATTCTATTACTGACCAGTATGTAAACACTGTTTTCTCAAAACGGAATGTTCTAGGAGAGAAGTAGTCAGTCGTTTCTGTATTAAGAAAGAGGTTACGTACTCATATGGTGTGCAAGAAAAATATACAGCCCTTTACGGCAAAAGGAAATGATAGTACTAATTATAATGGATAATCGGAGTAAAATAATACATGAATTTTGACAGGAGAATGGGACTTATATGAATGGATTTGGGGGAGTATCCGATAAAATAGAAACAAGAATAATCAGCCAATGCGAAGACCTTTTTTGCGAATATTGAATTCAAAGAGAATAACACATTAGAACTTTGAAGTATCACCTTTTAACAGAAGTAAGTAAAATGTTCTAAAATACAAGAATTCAGATGGTCTTCTACAGCTGAAGGTTGATTAATAGAGGCGTTAGACTCAAACAGTCACATTTGGCGAAATACATGTGCATCTGTCAGTTTGCGTGCTCTTCTATAGCTAAATATACTAGCAGCATAAACATTTTCCACCAGATATATTTCAAAATATTCTTAAATTTCAGTTTGTTTTAATATTTTAAATATGACTTCTAAAAGTATAATGTATTCAAGCACATTATTAAAGCGTTTTCAAACTGTCGTTTCCCAAAATAAGAATCTTCACCGGATTGAAATAGCCTTATAAATGCTGAAAAATACGTTACTTTGTTATTCCTGGGATATCTGTGTCAAAGTGCATATTTTCGTCTTGGCTAACTGAGCTACCACCACTGAAATACAATCTTGAGTCCAGATCGGACGCATATTCAGCACTAGCTGCTTGTTTCGTATTATTGCCATTAATACTGCTATTTTTAACGGTATTCAGATGCAATAACTTTTTCTTTTGAAAATATTGGAGGGGGGCGGGCACATTTGTTGAGATATTATATGCGAAGAATTCAATGTTGTATCACATACTTAGTTTGGAGTGAAGCGATCATTATCATTATTATTACTACTAAAAAAAGAGAAATCCCTTCAAATACATCAGTAAACACTATCCTGCTTGACTTTCGACAGCAGAAAGCAGGCTGAGCAACAGTTCAACCTTGTACCGTTTCGTCGATTATGTTCATTTTGCTTCCTAACAGTTTTCTTTCATAATCCTATATAAAGTCAAACCGAAAGCCTTAAAATATACAAAAACTCGTCTTTTATTCATAGAAGGTATTGGTAATTTACCAATGAATGCCGAAAATCTGCATCCAGAAGAAGCATGTTTATTCCCTTATTTTGCGATGGTCATAATACGTTTTTTAGCCCACTGATTGCTTCAATATTCATCTTACTCATACTGGTTGATTGCTTTATTCTATGAAATACTCCCCCAAATCCATTCATTTAAGTCCCATTCTCCTGTCAAAATCCATGTATTATTTTACTCCGATTATCCATTATAATTAGTACTATCATTTCCTTTTGCCGTAAAGGGCTGTATATTTTTCTTGCACACCATATGAGTACGTAACCTCTTTCTTAATACAGAAACGACTGACTACTTCTCTCCTAGAACATTCCGTTTTGAGAAAATAATGTTCATAACCAATAAAATTTTTCAGCGTTTGACAATGATTCATAACGAAGAAAATTTTTATTTGTGGATTACATTTTGTCAGTCTGAATATCCCGACGGGCTTTTTCATAATCTGCTGCTGTTGAAAATATCATAGCGTACTTTCCGTTACAAGTAGGTAGCTAATATATTTTGCACTTTAATTGTCCACATTTTTGCTGTTTACCAGGAAACGTGGTCAAGGGTAGCCTGAAAAAGTTGTTTTTATGCATATTTCGAGCAGCAGATAGTTTCAATAGATGTTCGTGTATTTGAGAACATCAGGTTTGTAAATTTCAGCTTTGTCAACTAGTTTTACTACAGTGAGATTTCAGTTCTGACCTCAAAGTGTCAAACAGAGGTGTTGGATTGACCTGATAGGGCTAGAAATTCTGCTCGTCTCCACTGTAAAGACTAAAATAACCAATCATTTCTATACCTTTAGAGGAGATCAGCTTACTCTATTACTATTATTATTATTAGTCCCTTGGGTTCCCAGTGGAACGTAGGGCTCCGGTAGCACGTTAACATTTTACTCTGTTCTCTTATGACTAGCTAGTAACAAGTGAACTAGTTAACTAGGCAAGGTTGGTCGGTTTACAGGGAGGGATATGTGAAGCAGCGATTGGGATACAAAATATCAATTATGATTTGACAAATCAAAGTGAAACCTCATTTCAAACTAGAATGCGGAAAAATACTAAAATGACGTATGGGCTAGAAACTGCTTAAATTATTTTGGTCCCTGTGGCGAGAATATATTTTTAAAATGTTTATTGAACAACTGTAAAAAATGAGCTCACATCTTTCAACGTATATTTCAAATGTCTAAAATGTTCTTCATACGACAACTGAAACCAATCCTTATCGAAAACACAAATTATCATGCCAGTTGCGTGAACGTACTAGATTAACGTAGAATCAATTTAAATTTCATCCATTCCACTCCGCTGGTAAATGTTTACAAACCAAGAAAGAGATGATGTGTAGAAACGAAGAGAGCATCTACGCGATTTCATGAGCATGTTTATGTTTATGCTTAAACATAAGTAAATTTTTTTCAAGTGCAATGGAAAAATATTTGATAGGAACTGAGAATCAAACACATACCTTCAAGGCCTTCACCATAATAAAGAGACAATAATCACCAAGTTTACCAGGTTTTTTCATACCTCTTTTCATCCTAAAGGTACTATGATCAGTCTGCTTTTGTCCTGAAAATTTGATATTATTTGGTTGCATTATATTTTCCTTCCTATCGAATAAGTTTTTATCCAGTTCATTATGATGCTCAACGGTTATTCATGTGCATATATGATTCCTCATTTTTTACCCAGTCCCTTCCAAGGAATCCTTGTTTGCTTGACAAAACGTTCATGGATTCAAAATCATCCATCTTACCATATATAAATAATCGTAGGTCAAGACTGAGGTGTGTAGCTTGAAGCTGCAAACAGCTGATAGATATTTGTTAAATAGACGACGTCATTTTATCCTGTAAATTTTAATTTATTCAGAATCAGTTCAATTTATTTTTATAACTTTGTCAACGTTTTCAGGTCTGTTGAATTCTAGACTTCCTTTTTCAAATCATTCTTTGCAAAAATTGTTATTTAAGGATTTCATGAAAATGAAAGGCTTGTATGTCACCTAAGATCCTAAGTAAATCAGAATCATCTAACTGTAGTCCCAGATAAAAGCTTGTATGTAATTTTCACACTAGCAATTGTTCATATCAACACGTTATTACAGTGACAATAAAAGCAGTCTTTTTTGCAAGGTTTGAAAAACTATGCTCTATAAAATATCGGAATGTCTTATTAATGAAAATCTTTTATGGATTCAAAAATTACTAGCACTTTTCTTAATACGACTGTGAAACGTTAAAGGCATTCAGTAACTTCAATAAAGTGCCATAAAGAGGTTGATATTAGAAAATTGGGAAAAGTCACAAATGATTCAATCTACTGAATAAAAAACATCCCAGTGCTCTCTTCAAGTATTCATGGTTTGTGAACAAATTAATCTGTAAGACTAAATCACCTAGTTTTTTCTTTAAATCAATATTTTAATGTACAATCTGTACACTGTATTATCAGCTCAGATAAGATATACTTCATCTTGTTATGCAACTTTGACCTTAGCAGTGGCATTTATAGTCATTTAATTGAACAAGTTGGTACTGTCCATTACAACAGATGAAAGTAGTGACAAACCAACTTTTAATGTTTCACTTTGGAAAACAAAGATAGCTCAAAATCACTTGATACACTGGTTTCTTACGGTGTATTCATGTCCCTTCAAAAGAGAGATAAAATCCGTAGGATTAACAGCATGTCAAGGATATGTCACAACACGTTAATTTCTATAGTTTTATTGTGTAATAATGGGTTTCCCAATTCAATGTGGGTAAAACATGCGACGCGTAGACTAGTCAGTTTTCTGATTGCTCAATAATTATTGGTCAATTTTGCTCGACCAATCAGAGCGACAATCAGGTATAACTTATGTTCCGGTGTTTATTTACAATCATAAGTAAATTTTTAGGTATACAGGCAAATTGTTTAAATGAATAAAAAAATTCTTACAATGAACATATAATTACATAGAAAGCTTGGATTAAATCATATTGTCTGGTATCATCGTAGGACTATTATAGCAACTACTACAACAGGAGTACAATACAATAACAGTATTTCATATATTTTGAGAAAAAATGAATGATGACATGTAAGTTCCTTTAACTTGGATAATTTGATTGGTGTTTCTCAATCATCACTCAGGAATAGTTTATCGTATCTAATTTTCTCTAGTTAACATTCTGTTATCATTTCAATCCATTTGAAATCAGCTGTTTCAAAGCGGTTGGACTTTCAGAAAAATGCCTTACGGCCAAAATTGTTTTTCCATTATGTCAGACAGTTAATTCTAAGGCTCTCCATTGTTTAGGTCAAACTGCACAGGTATTTACAATGTTAGCAATTTTATAGTATTGGTCATAATGCACAATGCAGAGGATTTGGTGTCATTGAGAATAATTAAATAATTTTCAAGTTAATAAAAACGAACGATAAGTTCCCTATTGTTATTCTAAAAACTTGATCTGAGATTGCGTTCACTGAAGTCAATAAAAATGGTATACAGCAATAATGATCAAAAAACATATTAAATCATACTTCGCTCCACAGAGGAAATCTGGAATCTATGTGGCTGATGAAATATTAATTGGAAACTAAAATTTCGTCGACAGGAACTCATTCAAGAATAGTATAAACCTTCAGCTACCTTTGTCGTATAGTAACTGGATCACTGAAAGCTAGTTGTCAGCGACATCAGCTCAGAAAATATCACCTAAATATTTGTTCAGTAATGCTTTTGTTTAAAAATCTGTATAATGAATTCATTTGTTGTTTATAAAAGTGGATAAGGTAAATCTCTATACAAAAGCAGGGACAAAACAGCAGAAACTGATTTAATAGTCTCCGAAAGGTGTCTTAATATACTTTTCAGACTTTCTCCGATTTTTTGATACCCCTTCAACTGTTACCATAACCGAATGATTAGCTGTTTTTATTGGTGAATACGGAAAAACATGTGTTTATTAGTCTTATGTAGTCAATGTCTGTTCAATATGTAATTATGAATGTTTACACCAAAAGTTTTCCAATTTCATTATTTTTGTAAAACGTCAAGCATATTCTACTATCTACTCTACTGAAAAGATAAAAGTACTTACTTATATTTGCTTGCCTAAAGTGATAAAAAACGCGTGAGACTTTCTTCAATGTTCAAATAAGATTAAAATTCGTTTATATTAAGATAACAATCTGCTACATCCGACTGAACGGGATGTATGCTACCCATCTAATTTCATCTACAACAAGCTTCTAAACGGGCGACATGATATTTTCATGAATAATTCCTGTAGGAACCACCCACTTTGAGAGGTGCACCCTAAGGAAGCTTATAATTGAGTGTATACTATAGAAAAATTAAATATATGGCATTTCTCAACATTTTATCATAAAGATACCACTGACAATGTTCAGTTTCATGGACATTTATTTTTATTTATTCGAGAGGTTAAATGTTACTCTCACTCAATGGAAGAGGCGCAAGTAATACTCAGAAAAATGCAAACTCCCAAGATTTTCGTGACTGAACGATTCCTAATTTTGTTTTTTAGTTTATAAGAGTGATTAAAGTCTACCGATCTGGCTATTATTTAGCTGAGTGTGTGTCAAGCATTATGTATCTATAATCTCAGTTGATTGTTCATGTAACAAAATATCAGACAGCAATAATATCAGATATAACTTATACAAGGTTTGGATTATATTTTATTCACCCATAACTCCCAAAAAATTCAATTTTTATCATCTCATAAGGATTTCATCCCTTCTTTGAATTTTAAATGCTGATATAAGTAGTGTATAAAGTCCATAGACGATCAGTTAGCACAAGTAAGTGATGCAGAATGTTAAGGAATAAAGCTGTTTCATGTTCTAAAACTGTCCAGAAGTTTGAATACTGCACAAATAATATCGTGCTGCAAAGAGGTGCAAACAGTATTTTGCTTAACTAGGTTTTATTATAAAGTTTGATACCCTTTAAAAGATGTTTATTTAGTATGTCAAACATACTGTGTTACTTTATTGGTTTATCATTAAACACCTCTAATCCAAATTCAAGGCTATAGATGGTGAAATTACGATATTTAAGCTGGAAAAATTTCCGAAAAAAGTGATTTCTCATAAATTAACAAGTTATAGCCAAAGACTTGTCAGTGTTTTAATTTAACCGATCAAGATTATATGGGGCGTTATTAGAATTTCAAATATTATCAGTAATTCAAGCATTCTAACTTACCTTAGATATATAATAAGTTATAAAATCTGTAGTTCTCCTACAAACCAACTTATGAGGACTGATCTGAATAAAATGTAATTTAAAAATCTACCATGTTTATAAACACTACATCCTTTTTCATTTCTAAAACACATTGATCGGTAGACTTTAAAAATAGACATATTTTAACATCATCATTATTTTAATCAGCTTGAAACAGACATAGCTGGAAATGCAGATGTTTAAAAGATGTCTAAACTATTATTGTATTTAAATTCTCTCTAAAATGGATTGTAGAAAGGTATTGTAACTAGTAGTAAGGAAATAAAATAGATTTACAGACGGTTAAGGCGTTTAATCATCTAATACTTAAGTGTAACCATCTAAATATCTGATAAGGGGATTTTTGAATATTTACCTTGTATCAGAGAGTTCATATCTTTCGAAAATGAATCTTATCTCAACATTTATCTTTATTTTCATCAAAAAAATGTATGTTTTATAATTACATTTCAGCTAGAAAATGTCGTTTCAATGAAAAACTATTTTTACACAATAAAAATAGCATCGTCTCTTTGAATCACCCAACCGTTAAAAATGATAATTTCATAAGGTTATGAGTTATTTCAAAGGCTACCCAGATAATAATTGAAAAGACAAATTAAACTTTTTAATTTATAAAAATTTATCTTTCAAAGCGAAATAAAAAAATCTAACTGGTTATTTCAGCCGTTGTTAGGATGGCTTTTAAAGTCACTCAACTTTATATACTTGAAAAACGGTTGCATTCATTCCTGGCGAAATAAGATGTGTGCTAAATTTTAAGCCACAGAAAAACAGATATAACAACGATTAAACATCAAAGTTTCAAGCTCTAAATTGTACTTCCGTTAATATTTTTATTCATGAAAGAAGTAGTGAACATCAGGATGCTGTCTTTAAATAATTTTTAATTGTAGTAACTGACTTTTTTCAAATGAACATTTTAAATAAATATTCCAAACTGGATAATTTGTTGAAACGTTGAGTTTTTTTATCCAAACAGTAAATTATCTATGCAAAACTTCACTGATTTAAAACAGGATGCACATTTGTGATGAAAGTGTGTGAAATTACTTCTGAAAAAAATTGTAGCTCTGATTAAAGTAAACGGCTTTTCCACTTTCCCTAACTTCTTGTTATCTGCCTCGGATACTTCATCAACAGCTAACTTTGCTACTTCAGTATATTCTATTTCACAAGGGAAATCAGTCACAAATTGGAGAGAATAGCTAAGAGTAGATTATCTATGAGTACTTCTCATATCAACTCTGTGTTCTTATAGTTACATATCTGAGTACATATAATCTTATCCAAAAAACAAGTATTTTCACTGAAAGGCAGTATAATTCTGTCAGGTAAAAGAATAGACTGATGACATTTACATATATAATCCTTTACAGCTCTGAGAGAAATTTGTTTAATGCATATCAAACAAAATCTCTAACATTTTCTACACAATCGTGATGATCCGAAAATGTAAAGTAGCGTGATTAGGATACTCTTTTATAAATCAGTCAATTTCCAGCTTTTTAGGGAACAGTTTTCAAAAATACTGAATGGAAGACAATGTTTCAGAACACTGTTTTATCGACTACTCTTTGTCAATGCTAATGCTATGTTAAGAAGTAAATCTGAATCCCAGTTTCTCTTACAAGAAATATATGGAAACTTGCTACGGAGATCTAGTATATGTTGCCCCTTTTTTTCGCAATACAAATGCATTAAATATCAACAAGTACACATTATTAAGTTGTGCATGCTACTATTTCATTCTCAAGTCCTTTTTCAGACCATCCATCTACAAACGATTTGAATACTGGCTAGTGGTTTGCAAAAAGATATTGGAATACAATGCCACTGGGGCAATGTTCATCCTATATGCATCCCGATCGAACATATTGGTGTTAAAGATTCACAGACTGGCAGCTAGCTAACTGGAGACTAATTTACTTTTTTCTGTGAATATCCTTTATGCTAAATTTTTTTAAGGCTTATTTCTTCAGCTCAAGGTGGCTAAAACAATAATGTCAATCCTAGCACTGAAACATCTTCGAATAACAGCATCACAACCTTATAAGTAATAGAGTCGTTTTTTATTACTGAGTTTTAATAAGCAAAGCTCAGTAGTCTTCATTTGCACATTAAACTGTCAGGATATTTTTTATGCCTTTCTAAATTATTATGCATGGAAACAAACCCTAAAAGAAACATGTGGATGACGCAAGATTTAGTGTGATACGTCTGACATTGTAGTATATATATATATATAGTTCTCAACTTAGTTGTTTTGTATTTATCTGATTAATGAATTCATGAATTTTGGCATGTATTGTATGGATGGCAAATTCGCTTATAGCTATGAAATATTTTTATTGTTTTGATGACAGCTTTTGTAAACTAGATAATATTTCTTTCTGAACAATAAGTACATAGTATGTATGTGTATATAACACTATATTTAACTTAGTGATTTAGCTTTGATGACAAGTAATATGATGAAAGCATATTTGTATTGAATTAATACATTTATTAGTCATTTTATAGATACGTTATAAAATCTGCATATATCGTTTGTAGACTATGGAACTGCTTGGTTAAAACTGCATCCGTAATCCATTGAAAGTAAAATATTGTCATTTCAAAGTCTAAAATCCATTCGGTTGTATTTTGTATTCTGTTCATAGTGTGCTTTTAGCTTCATTGCCAGAATATTAAGTAGGTTTGAAAGGCATTTTGAAGAAAGCAAAGTAGTTAACGTAGATTTGTAAACCATTGCTTATATTTGTTTCATCAGTCGAGTATGTTTTTCTGGTTTTTGACTTACTACATTGTTACTCCAC